TGTTGAACGGCTTGGTGCCGAACTAGTCAAGTATTTTTGACCCTTTGCTCTCCCCCAAAGATGCAGGCACCAACCAGCGTACTGACTGAACAGCTGTCGAGGCGACTTTCGAAAAGCACGACTAGCAGCACGAGAATCCCTGGCCAAGGCGCAAAAACTAGAACGGCAACTCCTAGTCCAGTCCTACTCCCGGCCCGTCTCCGAGCCAGATATCCCCCAGCCCGAACCCGACGAAGCATCCGCGCCTGCGCCCATGCCCCGACCCCAGCGATACGTCCAACAGCACCACCAACACTCCAATCTCAGTGAAGACGAGCAGCGAACCGTCGGCGCGAGCAGCAACGTCACCAATGCGCTTCGCCGCACGCACGACCTCATCGCCGCAGAGCTCTTCCGCAGCGAGTATGCACACCAGACTCTCACCGAGTCTTCTGCCACGCTGAAACAGCTCAATGAATCGTATACCACGATGGGTAGCATGCTTGCCAGTTCAAAGGACTTGCTGGGGACTTTGCTGCGGTCACAGAAGAGCGACACATGGTATTTGCAGACGGCCATGTATATGCTGATGGCGACGGGGGCGTGGTTGCTATTCAGGCGGCTTCTGTACGGGCCCATGTGGTATCTGGTTTGGTTGCCGCTGCGGATAGTCTTTGGAGTGGGCTCCAAAGCGGGCAATGCCATGATGCCGCGAGGAGCTGGCGAGTCCGGGAAAGTTGGTGGCGTGGGAGAGAATTCAAAGGTCTCCGCAGAAGGCCTGCCTAGAGAGGACTTGCCGACGGCGCAGGTCAGAGAGAAGAGGGACGCGGGGGCCGGTGAGGATTCTATGATTGAAGAGGTTGCTCAGGCTGTGGCGGAGGCTGACCAGTTGGGGAATCTGGTTGAGGATGAAAATGGGAATCCGGAGGATCGGCCGAGAAATCCTTTGAAGAGGGTGTGGGAGCCGGAGACGGACACGCAACGCGATGAATTGTAAGGTGTTGATGATACAAAGCATACGTCTATATATAAAAAAGTTCGATACCTTCTCCCTGATACTCCTCGTTCTGTTGAACATTGACAGCTCTTGAACTTTTTGCACTCCTTCCGTGGTCTCAATTCTCAATGCGCCTCATGATCGTTGAAACATGTATATCTCCCTTGCCACCAAGTATATCACAGCGAACAACAATCAAGATCGATCAGGCGCAACACGAGCAATATCACTGATCCACGGGATACCCAGCTTCTTCATCTCCACCGCCAACTGGAACAAATAATCCAGACTATATCAAAAAAGAAAAAGAAAAAAAAGTCAGCCGTTGCTTTTCTATCTTTATCTTTCATTTTTGGTCTTGGTTTTCCTCCTCACTGCACACACATGTCGAGAGATTTGGGAGGCCAAAAAATAAAAAAAAATATTAAAAAAAAAAAAAACACTCACCTCTCACACATAGTCTTTGCCTTGTGCACGTTATCCCCCCATACATAAACCCCGTGCCTCCTGACGAGCACGGCATACGTATCCGGATACCTGTCCATGGCCTCCTCCAGATACTCGGTCAGGTCCTCCTCATGCGGGGTGTTCTCAATGACGGGAATCCTCAGCGTGTCATGGTAGCCCAGGTTGCCCTGCTTGGTGGTGCCCCTTCCGAAGCCCTTGATCTGCTCAATGTTGTTGATCTCAAAGACCTTGTCGCTGCCGGGGCCCTGGGCCTCGAGGAGCAGAGTGACGAGGACAGCCCACTGCGAGTGCGTATGGATGCAGCAGCCGGCGTTGCGGCGCGTGAAGGCGGCCAGGAAGAGGGGCGTGCACTGCGACGGTTTGTAGCACGGCGGCGAGCGGAGGTAGCTGCGCTGCTTGAGGGTCGGCTCCTGGGCGGAGAGGGAGAGCACGTATATGTCTGTGTTTTTCATGAGTTCCTTCTGGACGCCCGAGGGCGCGATGTAGACGAGGTCTCTGGTTTGGCCGTCATTGTGAGTATTGCGTGAATAGCTAGCTGCATGGCGATGGGGAGGCGGGGTGGTGGTCTGGTACGAACTCATCGCGGATTGAGCATCCTCCTCCGGTGCCCGTCACCCATCCCAGAGTCCAAAACTTGGCGCACAGCGAGGGGATGAGGTTGGCGGGATGTTCTGGGTTGTCGGATGTGATGAGCCGGTCGGCGGCGTCGTTGTCGAGACGGGGCTTCTCGACGTCTTGCAGCGTTGCCATACTGACTGTTTCGGCGAATATGTTCAGATATAATCTCGGTATAGGGACCCCCTGGGTCAGTAGTTCATCACAATTGGCGAGTTTCCTGGAGGCCGTGATGTTTGAGGAATTGGGCAAACGGTGAAGCACGGGTGGGGCTGCCTGACTGACCTTCACGAACGAGGTGGCATGGACTTGTGAGGAACGCAGAGAGTCAACTATTATTATTACTACTCTGTACATGTACGGTAGAAACGTGGATAATGGCATGCAAGCCTGCGGGTGGTCAATGGCTCCATGAGTTTGAGCAGAATCTACTCTGTTTGTGAACTCGGTTCAAGCAGCTTCTAATAGTACTACTCCATAGATGCTCGTGGTTGTGTGCGCAGTGCGGGTTGGCCAGGGTTGGCTGGCTTGACCCGTCACGAGTCCGCCCTTTGTCAAGGCCTGGTGTCAGGACTCAGGAGTCAGGACAGTCAGGACAGAGTCGCATTATATTTTATATTTTATTTCATTTTCAAGTTCAACACGCGGCATGCCTCCTTTCCAGCAAATGTCTCAAATTTCTCGCAGTCAGCACTGAGCAGTTCAAGCTGTCGCAGCGCCGGGCCCGTTTGTATTATTGCCTTTTTACTAGGGCGTAGCGGTACAAAAAAGTAAGGACTTTGTCTTTTTTTATGGAGTAAGGTGGGCTATGTGCAGCCACGACGCGCTACAGACGCGACGGCTGAACTTTCCATGGTGGCCACGAGAGCTTTACCTAATACTCCGCGTACCAGTCCCTCGACATTGTCCAGAGAGCACCTTGAGCAAGCGGTCCGCAGATCTTGGGCAACTGACTACCAAAGAAACACGAGCAAAGGCCCGATCTCGTATTTTCGACGGAGCTTCATGCTCGATATCCTTTGTGCCACTCATGCATCGACTCTCCCGCCCTTTAATCCCGAAATCAACAGATTAGGCCAGTACTGCATGGACCCGGTGACAGGCTTGTTGAGTGAGCCCATCCCTTTGGCTGTGCTAAGGTGCCAGTCAGGTATCGGCCCCATTTTTTCTGCGATACCTAACGGGTACCTTTTTAGCGTCAAAAAGGCCCCATACGCTAGGTTCGGCTGTAATATGTGCGATGTAGCTCTTTGTAACTCACAGCATTGCTAGTACTTCTATCATCTTATTATTTCCTAGCGGGGTTAAGTATCTTTAAATGTAGGGTTTTTAATTGGCTAAAACCAGAATTCGATACCTGACTGGCACCTTAGCACAGCCAAAGGGATGGCGCACCTGGGACAAGCGCCTGGCTCAATTTCCGGACATGAAAGGGCTGAAGGTTACCCAAAGGGGGGGGAAGACGACGTCACAAGCATGTCAGGTGCCGCATTGTTCAGTGCACAACCCCGTCAACGACTCAGCGTCCATGTCAACATGCTCCCTCTACGAGGGCTGTCTGAGGACATCTGGAAATTTGCTCGCGTTCGGAATGGGCCTGGAGCTGTTCCCCGGGAGATGAATCACAGTCACAGTACGGAGTAATAGGACCAGCTCAATCATAACAAACAACAAGGACGTCATTACAAGCCAGGCACTGTTTTCGGCGCCGGAGTGGCAACCAGAATTCCTCCTGAATCACTGCAATGTCGAGTCTTGCCTTGTCTTGGAGTGACACGGGCGACAATCGGCCGCCTCCACAGGATGAGAAGACGAACTTGGCAACGATGGACAAAGCCGTCCGCCACCGAGTGCGGAGGAGGCTGCTACTAGCCGCCATGAGGCCAGGGGGTCTGGCGGTGGGATGTGATGCGCGTTGACAGCTCAATTTCAATCCGAGTCCATCATGCGGCCATGCCCTCTCGCTGAGCACAATCATACAGACCACCGAGTACATTGAGATAAAATACGGAGTAGCAACGCCAGATTTCACACAATGTCCAAGGTCAGCTCATGGGGCTGCTCCGTCCAGACGTACGTTGTAGGGGACAAGGGTGTCTGTGTGTGGCATCGTGTAATTAACAATGCACCAGACCGCTTGCAGAGCTCGGCAGAAAAACCTTGGACGAGGACGGCGTGTTGTACAGTACAAGCCGCTTCGCTCCGTACGACGTGCATGGTGTCACTCTGTAGATCCCCCAGGCGCCAATCACGGTCAATTTGGGACCTGGTTGCTTGTGAATGCGCGAGCCCTCGGCCCTCGACATGTACAGTACTTGGCCCTCGAGGACCACCAGGACCAACAGGACCACCACAGGCACTAGCAACGGCCGACACGAGAAACGACAGGGGTTGAGGTGCTCGGGTGGCCGGGGCCCATGGCACATTGGCCAGTGGCCAGTGGCGCAAACGGCCAACGGACAGCGGGGAGCCCACATTGCCTTGGCTGGTGGCAACTGGCAACTGGCGATTGGGTCCATGTCGTCCGGGTCCCACCAATAGCACTCCAGATACGGAATACCTGTTCGAAAAGTTCCTGTCGGCACCAATTGACCGTTGACCCCTTGCTGCCGTGCTGCTGCTAGGGCGCAAGGCGAGACCACAGCGTAATAACATCTGGACACAAACAAAAAGTGAATACTAACTACTTCGCTCCCACCATACGGAGCGCGTGCCGCGCCAGCTGCCCGTCACCCCTGGTAAATAAAGGACCTCGCTTCCCCCCCGGTTCAATCAAGGCTTGAAATTCTATTCCTCGATCTCTTTCTCTCACACGTGCGTCCTCCATATATAAGTCTCTCGCTTCGGTCAATCTCTCTTTCTGTTCTTTAGCCTTTTAATAATCCAGTGCAGCCCTAATACTGTCCAAGTTTCTGCACTTTCATCGAGTTCAATCGTCAAGATGCGTTTCACCACCTTCCTCGTTTCTGGCGCTCTCGCTGCCGTTGCTGTCGCTCAGTCTGCCACCACTTCTGCCAGTGTCGCTGAATCATCCGCCGAAGCCTGTCTGAAGAACTGCCCGGAAAGTGATGTAAACTGCAGGGCTCACTGCATCGCTGTAAGTTGACTTTTCAGTTTTGTTTTATTGGCTACCTAGGTAGTTAGTCGCGCGCCGGCCACTTGGTGTTCGCGTGATTCTGTCTCCCAACTGTGCTAGCCAATTGATTGTCGCTCGCCCATCTTCTGGACCATTCGCTGACGGAGCAATTACCACAGGTTCCTTCTCCCAATGATCAGAACATCGCAAACACCGATGCGTGTATCAGAAAATGCAATCAGGGCGACGGCAGCGCAGAACAGTCCAAGGCATACGGGGAGTGCAAAAAGGCTTGCGAGGAGAAGTACTACTACGTCTCCAGCGGGGGAACTCCCCAAGCTACTGGAGGTACCGGTAACAACGGTAACAGCGGCGGTTCTGCATCTGGCTCTGACGCCTCGCCCACTGCCACTGCCACTGCCACCGGCACTGGCGCTTCTCCTTCTCGCTCTGCCTCTGGTACTGGTTCTTCTGGCTCCCGGACCACTGGCTCGGGGTCTGCATCGGGTACCCAGACTGGCACCGGAGCTTCTGCTACCAAGACTGGCGCCGCTGCCGGCCTCACTATTGGCTCGTCTGGTGCCTTTGTCGGCGCCCTTGCTGCCCTTCTTGCTCTGTAAATCCCATTTTGATATTCATCTTTTGGTTGCCTGAAATTGGTTGGAATACGGTATTAATGCGGATGTAATGGGAGCACCTGTATTTGTATTGTATGTAGTGAGTGGGCGGTAAATCATGGGGAGGGGGAAAGTTAATACCCATAATCTGGATATGGTTCAAAATGAAACAAAGCGTTGGTCCATGATAATCAGTTCTGCTGCGATTTCAAACTTTCTGCGACATTGCCATTACGTGCCTTGGGCCTAGTGACATGGGCAATGTGCAATGCAAATTAGTCTTGTCATGGCTGGGGTACTTTTGTTGCCAGGTTACGTACATGGCGCCGCTCCCTACGATTATTGCCCGTAATACAGTGCTTCATTTCCTCGTGCTGAGAACGGATGAGAAAAGTCTTGCGTTGACGGACGACTTCAGTTTGCATCTGGCGCGACTCAACCCATTGCCTGATTAGATACTGTGCGGGCCAATGTAGATACTTGGTAGTATAGATGACACATACTGGAGACAACTTGAATTTTATACCATCATTCGTCACGACTGTGTACTAATGCACTCCTACTTACTAGGCCTGCCTTGTACTCTGTAGTCTCGTTTAGTGTGACACTATGCTTATTGGGCTAGCATGATAAGTTATTACGAGGGTTGTCTAATTCGTCGCTGACTGGGTAACTCATCCATGGAGTGTCATGTCAGTAAGTACTTAAGTACTTAAGTCATGCATGGGGTAAATTTTACCTGTACGGTTAGCTACCTACGCGCGCGGCCCCTGGTTCTGGTGACAGCATAACTATTACAAGACAGGTCTTCAATTGTCACTAACTATTAGAAGTCTTATGTATTAAGTAAAAAATTCTGTTTAGCTGTCTTGTGATAGATGATAGCCAGAGGACACCCCCTTGGCGCGCTATTAGGTACCTACCTGGTAGATACCCACCTACCTCAGTAACTTTGGTACCACAGGTAGATGAACATCAAAGATAGTGATTGCATGTCTCGCCTCACGTTACAGCTACCCTACAGACTGGCAGCAACTTCCCTCTGGGGCCTACGAAATAGTTATTTTGCCACGGCACTCGGTGGGACCAAGGCATGGGGCAATCTTCTGGGTTATCATGAGAAATAGGTACCGTTCCTAGCAGAGCCATTGATATCTTCATACAGCTTAGTTTGAGGGAGCAAGTTCAAGAGAGCCCCGACATGCACATCGTCTCTTGCTGTGGCTACCCTACGTGCTATCAGAGGCATGCTATCAGAGGCATGCTAGGAGCAAGGGCAAATATTGCGCCGAGGAATTATTGAAGAGGTGTTGCAAACTTGCCTCTACGTGTCCTCTCAACTCGCACATGATGACAAACCGTCTTCGCAACCGCATGTCCGGCCGGGCTCCTTGGCCGGATTGGCCGAAATCCCTCGCACCACGTGGGGAGGGGCCCATGAACGGATGGCAGAGCAGGCGACTTGTCCTTTCTTAGTAGTGCCTTAGTTATTCAGGTGCTGCATTGTTATCCTGTTGAAAGGGCAAGTATAGCGTAGTTGAGTTTCCATTTCGGCTTCTAGGCCCCTCACACGGGTCACGGAGCGATCTGTGCGTGAAGACCGGTGAAAGCAAGTCTACAAGCCTAGTTTTGGGGAATAATAACACGTGGCTTCTTTCTGGGTGCTAGTAGTCATTTTTCGGGGCTGTGACATTTGACTAGTGACGGGCTTCTTTGGGATGTATGGGATGAAAAGACGGGCGAGAGGCACTTGAGTTAGTTTCCAACACCCTGAACTGTGAGTGGCCAGTTGCTTAGTCAATCAACGTGAGCATTGGAACCCTGCGTGCCTGAGCTTTCTATTTATATTTTTTATTATGTTCAGGCACCTCTATTCTGCAGCAGGCTTCAATTTGAACGCCTTACTATTTGGGTGGAAGAGGAAAAGCGATATTCGGGAGACATCATCCCAAGCAAGTATTTTACTGGCCCGGGAGCAAAACCTGGCACGGCCATGGCTACCTAGGTATGTCTTGGTTGCCTGGGCAGTTGCTGCAATTTGACTATTGTATGACCGAGCATCATAATAAGGACAATGTCCCGAAATGTCTCATCAGCTGTGATAGTCTCAAGAAGAATAGATGGCGATCACGACTGGTGGTATTATTCACGGCTTACAGTAACCACATCTTACCAGCGCAATAGGTACAAAATGCGTTATGCGAGATGGTTCATCTTGTGGAAGAATGAAAGAGAAGAAAAATTATAAAGACTGAGGTATATCCCCATCATTCAGTCCTAAGCCTCCCTTGCCAGAGCCTCTTCTTCTTCTTCAATCCTACTTGGAACTCTCAAAGCCAACACGCAAAGAAGAACGGGTTTATACCGGGAAAAAAAAGTCCAAAAATCCAAAAAAAAGCCCAAAAGGAAAATGAAGCTCAGCCTCGCTTGTCTCTGTTTGTTTCGCTGGCAATGCATTTGCAAGCTCCCCCGCCGGCCGCGCTTCCCCCAGCCACAATCCCACGGCCACAGCCACACGCCCGCCCATCCCCACCCTGATCAAACGTTTTGGCTAGGCGTCCGTTCAACTTGATGGTCTCAGGTTAACTACTTGTTTATACAGGAGGTGCTGTATTGAGCTAACAAGCATGCGCTAATATTATGCTTATAGACATGCTCCAAGGAACAAAATACGTGTACCTATTTTCACAAAATCAGGAACGGGCGTACCCCAACTGGCAGCCAAAGGTTCCGCTGGAAATGGACAACCACGCCTTGCAGACATTCTCAGCACCCAGTACGTTCCCGGTTCCCTGGCCTGGCGTTTCTCATCTCCCGAGGGAAGTACTCAAGTAAACTAATCCGGGAAATGCCTGACATGTATAGTGCACATCGGAAGGAGCAGCGTGCAATAAGAGTGATCAGACTGGCGTCGTCGTCTGCAGTTAAAATGCTGGCCGGCATACGATAGAATGGCTCGCCTAAATCCCAAATTCGACATCTTGGGTTCCCGCTGATCGAGCGAGAGAGTGGGAGCATCTGGCTACTAGCCTGTCTACCTAGATGGGTTGGCAATTTGATCAAATTGATATTCGAAATAACTGATTAGTCATGCCGAACTGCGTCGTGCCTGCCAAGCTAGTGTGTCTGGCCGGCCCCCCCCCGCATTGCGCATTGGGGCGCCGCCGACTTGGACTTTGCACACTCTAGCGCTGCCCCAAAAAAGTTTGGGGCTCATTGTCCCCTGCCAGGCTCGAGCAGCTTCTACCAGTCGACGTGTCCTTAACCACCCCAGGCCCTGCCAGCTCCAGCTTTGCTGTCCTTAAGTAAACTTCTCCACGAGCCACTTTACCTTCGCTCATCTCATCTCTCTTCCGATTCTTCTTCAACTTCCTCTTGGAATCCTAAGCCACTCCTCGAGCCCTGGCATTGGCACCAATTGACACCCTCTGGAGCTTGTCTTCCTGCCTTGCCTATATTCTGAACCGACTTGCGCTGTGCGCTCTTGGTCGTAGTCTTTGCATTCCCCAACCTGCTGGTCGTATTCTGTCGATACCATGAAGTTCAATGCTGCTGCTGCGGCTGTCTCTGCCGCCATCTTGGCTGGCACTGCTCACGCTGACAAGCCTGAGGAGTCTCCTGTCGTCCCCGAACTTCCCACCTTTACTGTAAGTAAAGAAAGAACAAAACTCCTTCCTCCCCAGCTTTGCCCTTGAACACACTGGCCTCTCTGCCCAGTGCAGCCCATCTCGGTGCTTGCAGCTCATGTGGACACTTGTCCAACAAGTCAAGGCCGGCCAGCTCATCCGAACATCTAGAAGCTAACACCCTGCTTTACTAGCCCACCACCTTGAAAGCTCCCTTCCTCGAGCAGTTCACCGATGACTGGGAGAAGCGATGGAAGCCTTCTCATGCCAAGAAGGACATGAAGGGCTCTGGAAAGGATGAGGAGGAATGGGCCTTTGTAGGCGAGTGGGCTGTCGAGGAGCCCTACCAGTACAAGGGCATGGCTGGCGACAAAGGCCTTGTTGTCAAGAATCCGGCTGCCCACCACGCCATCTCTGCCAAGTTCCCCAAGAAGATTGACAACAAGGGTAAGACTCTTGTCGTTCAGTACGAGGTCAAGCTTCAGAAGGGCCTCGAGTGCGGTGGCGCCTACATGAAGTTGCTGCGCGACAACAAGGCTCTTCATCAGGAGGAGTTCAGCAACACGACTCCCTACGTCATCATGTTTGGTCCCGATAAGTGTGGCCACACCAACAAGGTCCACTTCATCTTCAACCACAAGAACCCCAAGACTGGCGAGTACGAGGAGAAGCACCTGTCCTCCCCCCCTACCGCCAAGATCGTCAAGACTACCGAGCTGTACACTTTGATTGTGCACCCCAACAACACCTATGCCATCAAGCAGAATGGTGAGGAGGTCAAGTCTGGTTCTCTCCTCGAGGACTTCACTCCCGCCGTCAACCCCCCCGCCGAGATCGACGACCCCAAGGACTCCAAACCCGACACTTGGGTTGACGAGGCCCGTATCCCTGACCCTGAGGCTAAGAAGCCCGAGGACTGGGACGAGGACGCTCCCTTTGAAATTGTTGACGAGGAGGCCACCATTCCTGAGGACTGGCTTGAGAATGAGCCCCTCACCGTCCCCGACCCTGAGGCCCAGAAACCTGAGGACTGGGACGACGAAGAGGATGGCGACTGGGTCGCTCCCACTGTCCCTAACCCCAAGTGTGCCGATGTCTCTGGTTGTGGCCCCTGGACCAAGCCCATGAAGAAGAACCCTGACTATAAGGGCAAGTGGACTGCCCCGTTCATTGACAATCCTGCCTACAAGGGACCTTGGGCTCCTCGCAAGATTAAGAACCCTGCCTTCTTCGAGGACAAGACCCCCGCCAACTTTGAACCCATGGGCGCTGTAAGTAATCCCAAGCGGCATTCGATGTACCAAAGAGAGCACTTGCTAAACTTGCCTTTAGATTGGCTTCGAGATCTGGACGATGCAAAACGATATCCTCTTCGACAACGTCTACATTGGCCACTCCATCGAGGATGCCGAGAAGCTGGCTGCTGAGACTTTCAAACTCAAGCACCCCGTTGAGAAGGCGCTGGCTGAGGCTGACAAGCCCAAGGAGGAAGACAAGCCCAAGTCTCCCTCTGATCTCAAGTTCCTCGATGACCCTGTCCACTACATCAAGGAGAAGCTCGATCTCTTCCTCACCATCGCCAAGAATGATCCTGTTGAGGCCATCAAATTTGTTCCTGAGGTTGCTGGTGGCATTGGTGCCATTATCGTGACTCTCGCTGCCATTGTTGTTGGTCTCATTGGCCTTGGCGGATCCTCTCCCGCTGTCAAGGACACTGCAGCCGCTGTCAAGGACAAGGCCAAGGAGGCCAAGGATAAGGTTGCTCAGGCTACTGCGACTGGTGCCGAGAAGGCTAAGGGAGAGGCCAGCAAGCGAGCCACTCGCAGCCAGTCGTAAGCCGATTGCTAAAAATGACGGAAGAAAGGAGAGGGGATGAATGGAATGGGAATGGGAATGGGAAAGGGGATGAATGAATTCTGGACAAACACAAACCTGGAACTCTGGCGTCTTGATGGACCAAGAATTTTGAGAACAGTATGCGACAGATTTGGAGCAAGAAAAAAAAAGGTTCAAAAGAAAGCTTTGCTAATTGCTATTTGTTGTTTTGCTCAGAGATGCTTTGGTTTTTAATTTAGTCAGCCTTACCTCCCACGTTTTCACGAAGCCTGGGAGCGATGACGGACTCTAGGACATGGCGAGCGTGTATTTAGATGGGGACGTTCCTGGCCTTGGGCGGACCCTGCCATGTACAACAAATAGGCGACATGAATCTGATTAAATGTTTAAAAGCGCCTGCTGGGTTGCATGGATTGCTTGGCTTTGGAAAGTGAAACCTAGTTTGGGAGAGCATGTTCGGAAAGCTTTCCGATGCCGACGATTGGCAGAGTGGAGAGAGGAGGATATCAAGCAGGAGGAGGTTTAGTACCTGGTAGCTTCACCGCACGACATTATGTGTGACGAAGTCCATGTATGGCGTTTTGCTGTTCGTGTATATATGACAATGTTGGAGTTGAGACCTGACAGGTTCCTGCTACTGTTTGCTGATTCAAGTTGGCCAGCCAGGCCACGCTGCGCCGGCCGGTGCGTCGCAAGCAGTGTTCCGTCCGGGTGCGGCGTACTCCCTCCGGAGAATTAGTAATTAACTTGTTAGCTACCGCACGTGCGTAGTATTTTTATTGTACGGAGTATTATTATTACGCCAACTCGCTGCATCTATTTAGATAGAAACATGACAGGGCGGTACGCCGTATCCGGAGAGCAGAGACCACCATGGATGCAGGGATGGGCGATTAACGATGTCCTGGCTCCGTGAGTCGGAGGTCGGGGGGAACGGTCGGCAATGACGGAATTGGGCGGCACGGGTGAATGGACCGGGCGTCTGCGTCCTACGGCGAGTGTCGGACTGCATGCAATATGCCATCCAATGCTTACACGCTCTCTCAGCCTCGTGACGGGGCAAAGTGGACGACGAGTCGTCTGTTTCCTCCAAGGGCTGGGGTTGCTGGCATGGTTGGGATCGTTGGGATCGCGGGGGGTTGCTATGGTGGCACCGTGCCACCCCGCAGACAGCTTTATTATTACGACTAGTCTGGAACAGCCAAAACCGGTCCCCGGTGCTCTCGGGAACCTAGTTATATGAACTTATATCGTAACGAATATTAATATTGCCGAGTAAGCAGTGCTTGGCTTGGTCGAGAGTGCGGAGTTCTGATTCCTAGACTGACCAGTTGACGACTCAACCACTGTCCCACCCCCGGCTTAAGAGCTCAACGCCCCAGGCCCCCTCCCCACATCCGCACGTAGCCGCTCTTTTAAGAAGGCGGCACCAGAACACCTCTGTCTCTCCGAGAGAGGAGGCTTGTGTATGAAATTCCGTAACCACCACCGTACGTTGCCTTTTTTTTTCTCTCTCTTGCCCTTTTCTTCTCCCAGCCTGCTTGTCATCGCCAGCAGTGCCTTGGATCCCCTCATAATATCTACCTTTCCCCCCCTGGTGTCATCAACCATGCGGCGGCTCATCTCACGAAGCGTCTCTGCAAGCGCCACGCGGTCACCGGTGACCTCAGCCGTACCCCGATCTACCATTGCCACCTCCAAGATGCCTTCCAACGGCTCTTCTTCCTCGGCCGTGGCCGCCAGAAGAATACATGCGACTGCCCAGCAGCTCAAGCCCACGGCTGCTCTGGCCTCTACGGCCACCAGCTATCCCAACACCCACGACAAGATCCAAGCCGTCGAGGACACGCCGTACTTTATCGACAACAAGTTTGTCAACTCGACAACTGACAAGTTCATTGACCTGCCTGACCCGGCTACAAACAACCTCGTTACTCGTGTCCCCCAGATGACCGAGGAGGAGATGAAGGCTGCTGTGGCTAGCGCCGAGAAGGCTTTCAAGTCCTGGAAGAACACGACCGTCCTCGCTCGCCAGCAAATTATGTTCCGATTTGTGCAGCTGATTCGCGAGAACTGGGACAGACTGGCTGCCAGCATCACTTTGGAGCAGGGCAAGACCTTTGCCGACGCCAAGGGTGATGTTTTGCGTGGTCTGCAAGTCGCTGAGGCGGCTATCGCCGCGCCGGAGCTGCTCAAGGGTGAGGTTCTCGAGGTGTCCAGGGATATGGAAACTCGCACTTATCGCGAGCCATTGGGCGTTGTGGCTGCCATTTGCCCCTTTAGTAAGTTCCTGTGAAGAGCATTGATTTGCTTTGCTTGGATGTGTGGACCTGACAGCTGACCCGTCCTTGTAGACTTTCCTGCCATGATTCCTCTTTGGTGCATCCCCATTGCTACCATTACTGGAAACACAATCATTGTCAAGCCATCTGAGCGTGACCCCGGTGCTGCCATGATCCTCGCTGAGCTGGTCCAGAAAGCTGGCTTTCCCGAAGGCGTCGTCAACGTCATCCACGGCGCCCACAAGACTGTCGACTTCATCCTCGACGAGCCCGCCATCAAGGCCATCAGCTTTGTTGGAGGCAACAAGGCCGGAGAGTACATCTTCAGCCGTGGTTCTGCCAATGGCAAGCGTGTCCAGGCCAACCTGGGCGCCAAGAACCACGCTGCTGTCCTGCCCGACTGCAACAAGAACCACTTTGTCAACAGCGTCGTCGGGGCTGCCTTTGGTGCCGCTGGCCAGCGCTGCATGGCCCTCAGCACCCTAGTCATGGTCGGCGAGACCAAGGAGTGGCTGACTGACATTGCCAAGAGCGCCAAAAAGCTCAAGGTTGACGGAGGCTTCGAGGCCGGTGCTGACCTTGGCCCTGTCATTTCTCCCCACAGCAGAGAGCGCATCCTGAGCCTCATTGACAGCGCCGAGAAGGAGGGCGCCACGATCCTCCTTGACGGACGCAACTACAAGAACCCCAAGTATCCCAATGGCAACTTTATCGGTCCCACGCTCATCACCAACGTCACCACTGACATGAAGTGTTACAAGGAGGAGATCTTTGGCCCGGTGCTGGTCTGCCTCAACGTCGACACCATTGACGACGCTATCGACTTGATCAACAAGAACGAGTACGGCAACGGCGTGGCCATCTTCACGCGCTCCGGCCCCACGGCCGAGACGTTCCGCCGAAACATTGAATCGGGCCAGGTTGGCATCAATGTGCCCATCCCCGTGCCGCTGCCCATGTTCTCCTTCACTGGTAACAAGAAGAGCGTTGCCGGTGGCGGTGCCAGCACTTTCTATGGAAAGCCAGGTATCAACTTTTACACGCAGTTGAAGACTGTCACGGCGCTGTGGCAGAGCCAAGATGCTGTTGCTAAGAAGGCCGCTGTTCACATGCCTACTTTGCAATAAAGGGTGTGTGTGAGAGAGAGAGAGAGAGAGAGAGAGAGAGGGAGAGAGAAGAGAGAAATGGAGGGAGGGGCCGGAGGCGATGAGAAATTGAAGATGAGTGTTGATTTTCAGTTCAAAAATTAGTTCTTATGAGTGCATGTGGGAGGAAGTACGGCTTCTGGCCTGGCCTGAGCAAAACTTGTCAAGAGAAAATATAATAGGGTTCTACAAATCTTGTCCTCGGCAGTGCTTGTGAATAGATGCAGCGTAAACTCGGGCCGCATGAGGGCTTTGCGTACCACATGTTGGGTTGGCGTGATTCTTTTTGAGGTGACGTGTGTGTCGAGTATGTATGTAGCCGGCGGAAGACGGGTTGGACATGGTTGCCTGGACTTGACCCTTGGAATTCCGTAGGCACATGAACGGACTGGGCATTTTTGCATTAACAAAAGAAAACATACTGCTGCCATTGTGAGCAGGCAGAAAGGTCATGGACGGCTCATGCATGAGCGCACCGCTGGCCACCACCAAGTCCTACCTGCTATTCTTCATATCCAACCCGGCCTCCCTTCAGCCGAGAATCATTCCCAAAATTGGAAACATGGCACTTTCTGTCTTGAATGCCATTGATTTGAGGGGCTCATGTGCGGGATTACATGGATGGGCAAGCCGTGCTGAATGACACGTCTGGTGCTCGACATGCAGATGAGTTATGACGGACACCTTTGTCTGCGAGATGCGCATGCCGCAACACGGGATGTAAGCTACTATCAATATGTGCTGTGCGTCGGTTCCGTGGTTTTATTTTTTAGCCCTTTGAACTTTGCTTGGCTGTTGCAAAACACATACGAGGGAGAAAAAATAAAGGTCACATGTTGACTACACACACGGCAGGAAGTGCAAACATGTCGTGGATCGCCGTGCCCAGCCGACTCTACTAACTACAAACTCAAACGCAACAACACACACGCGGCCCCGAAACCAACAAGAAGACCAACATCAGCAGTGCAGCCTGGCCGGCCCCCAAACACACTACTATGCCACCCCCCGGCCATGAACCTCGCTCTCCTCCCCTACACGGTGTTTTTCGAAATCGTGTCCCACCTCTCTGCGGTCGAGGCCCTCACGTCGCGCCGCATCTCGCGTGACGTGCACTCGGCGCTCGTACGGCCCGACCTCAGCATCAGCCTCATCCTCTTGCACTTCCCGCGGTCGCTCGAGGGCCGCACCCTCCGCGGGCACCTCCGCGCCGGCCGCCACGGGGCTCTCGAGGACGAGGACTGGGCGGGCGTCTTTGCGACGCTGGCGAGACGCTATCACCACCTGGGCCATGCGACGCCCTGGAGGGTCGACAAGGTGCGCGTCGCGAGGAGCCCCAGGCTCCGGGGCGTCACGCCGTGGAACAGGTTCCTGAGGCTGGACGACAAGACGGCCGCCTTTGACTACTGGGACCCCGTGTGGGCGTTTGCGCCGCGGCAGGGCGTCCTGGTGTATCCCGCCGCCGCGGGCGCCGCCGTCGTGTACAGGGCGAGGGACCTGGCGAGCGGCGACGAGGCCGAGGTGCCCTTCGACACGGGCGGCAAGGTCGTCCGGAGGGTGCGGCTGAGCCACGGCATCCTGGTGGTTGAGTGGTGCGAGGAGCAGGGACACGACGAGCTGGACGGCGCCGAGGCCGCGCATCGCCACTTCGCCACGGCCTTTGACGTCGCCGCTCGCGGTCGCGGCCGGCGGCAGGTGTCCTTCCGGTCCGAGTGGACGACGCACCACCTGGGCCTGCCGCCCTCCCACCAGGACCGCTTCTTCTCGACGCACAACGCGACGCACTACGTCGTCTACATCTGGCAGCCGACGCGGTCGCCGTGGGGCGAGTACGCGCCCCTCGAGCGCCTCGTCGCCTGGGACATTTCCCAGCCGAGCCCCTACCGGCCGTCGCTCGGGCCTTCCCGCAGGCCGCCA